CGGACAAGCGAGAAAGCGGTCGAAAAAAGTCCGTCCTCCAGCAAAATTTTAGGAATATGGGAGTTTAATTTGCTCTACAAATGGCCGAAAAAAATTCGTACCTTGGGGGGGGGGGGGGGTAAAGTCCCCCCTTAAGTGACTAGATAATGTCATGATTTGCTATATACATGTATGTATTTAAAGAAACGAGACAACACTTCTGTATGATAAATATGTAGTATAACTATCGATGATTCATCCCTAGAAAAATCAGTTTTGAAACTGTTTTAAATGGCAAAAGAAACAACTATTAGAAAAAAAAAATTTTTCCAAGTTTTTTTGAAAACAGCTGTATTTTAAATAATAATAAAACGAATATTAAATCAGCAAATAATTATCTTTTCATATTACTCTGAATTTCTTTTTAAATCAAAAGAAAATTAAAACTCAACAGTTATCAATTCGTACCACTAATGAAATCAAAGAAACAAGACACATTCTTAATTGGATATGCTCGACGAATGCGTGAATGTCGGAAACGACAGCAACAACAAAATTCTGAAGCATATAGAAATCGAGTAAACACACAAAAAAGAGAATACCGTCTACATACTCGTTTTCAAGTTTTATCAGACCATCAAATAACACAAAAACTACAATCAATTGCTAAAACACCTGAAGCCAATAGAGAACGACAACGTCGCTATCGACTAAATCGATCAAACGAGAAAAGAAGTCTAAAGCAAGAGAAAGATCGAAACTACAGAAGGTTAAAACGCAAAGCACAACAATTAATCAACTCTAGTGGAAACGTTGAAAATCAAGTACCTACTCTAAATACGGTCGTCGAAACAAGAACGAACTCTGAATTTATTAAACCATTTTTTTATAGATTTTTATTAAAACCCGATTCATAAATCTATCGAGCTTAAAATTTTTATGCGTATGCTTGGTTTAATTGAATGTCTCTGACGGTCTTTCATTGTATGTCGCTCACAGTCTCTGACACAGGGCTGGGTGAATCAAGCCTTTTCTCGAGTCGAGTCAAATAATTTTTTTGGTTTGCCATTCTTCTCTGTTTATTTTTACTAAGAAGATCCATAAGAAACTTTCAGTACAAAGTATCTAATTACAAGATTATAGGAACAAAAACTAATAAAAAGAAAACCACCTATAAAATAAAAAGATACAATTACTCTAGACTAACTACAAAAGTCGCAGCAAGATTAACTGTACAGTAAAGAAAAGTGTCATTTTTTATGAACAGAAAGTTACATCTAAACTTGTTTACGAGCAAATTGTATTCAAAAATGTGCCAAAAAGAATAGAGTGGTGATCCTAATATATGCGTCGCGAAGTTTCGCATACTCCCCTCAGGGTAAAGTTGTAATATTCAGATTTTCGAACAAAATTTCTACAGCACTTTCACTATAGAAAGTCACTACTTTTCAGAAGTGACGGTTCAGACCCTCTCCTTCCCTTCTGCAGGAGCATAGCTCTGAGTTTAATCATTAAAAATTAATGTCTTATTGCATCGCAAAGATGGTAAAAGATAAATGTTAGCTTCTGTGAAACTTGGACGATTTATTTCATTAAAAGATCACATCGAAAAAAAGACAAGTTCAATCGTTGCTGATGTAGCAGAACACATACTGTAAAAATATCATTTATTTATTTACATATATGTGCACACTTTCAAAAATGAGCGCAAAGAAAACAATCCGAAAGAGCACATATCCAATACTACGCGTAGGCAGCCATATCCGACATGAATACAGATATCGAAAAAGTTTCTTTTGAAAGTTCACAGGATGGCACGTATTCAATTGGTGAGAAAGTTTTGTATAAGCGAGAAATTTATCTTAAAAATTGTAATTTTTCAAACGACCCAGCCAAAGTTCTTTTTTTAATGATTCACTCGAGAATGACTCGACTGTTCGAGTCGAGTCATCGCTTCGAAATTCCCGAGTCAGAGTCGAGTCTGAGTCAGTAAAAAAAAATGACTTGAGTCTGAGTCATAACTCGGACTCGCCCAGCCTGGTATGACGACTAATGGTTTGATAGAATGGAGTTCGGATCAGATTTATTTTCGACTAATTATGTTAAAAAAAATTGCAATAATGATTTTGTGTGTGAATTGGTTTTTTTCCAGTGACTCAGTAATATTTGAGTAATTTTTGCTTTTATAAAAAATGTCCAGATTTTTTAAATTTTTTAATATGTATGTTTGTATTGTATGCAATAGTTGATTAATGCATTTTTTTTAATAATATTGTTTTATAAACAAGTAATAAATTGAAATACATAATAGATCGTTTGTACATGATTATTCTGCTAGAATTTATTTAATTAGATTTGTGTAAAAATAATGAAGAAAAGTAGTGAATCATAATGTTTCATAAAAGAATACGAACACTATCATCAGTTGATCGTAATGTGACAAGTATTTTCCATGGAAAAGGACATTTTTCAAGGTCCACAGATAAATGAGTTATAAGATTGATTCGATGATGTTCAAATCGAATTTGTCTATTACCACAATCCAATGTCATTGTTACTTCATCACCTGTTCGAATTATTTTTTATTATTATGAACTCGATATCGACTAATACTTTCAATAGCTTGATCAAGCTCCCACCAATCGTAAGTATATGGTGAAGTTAAATTTTGTACAGGCATGTCGTACGATGTTGTCTTGATATCGAAGAAAAGATTATGACTAGTTTTATTTTCGATTCGAAAATGAATTTGATGTGTTTCAGATGAATAAAGACGAATACCATACACATTAGAGCCATCCCAATAAGTATCTAAGCATGTTGCCATAAGACCATCTTTGGATAGAACTATTCTTTCTACAAAGTTACGAAATTTTTCATGAGTAAGTGTAGGTATCTCTTCACAAACGATATTATTTTCAGAAGATTTTCGTTGACAACGGAGGCAGAATTTGACAATTGTTGTTCACGTACTTTGATCATAGGTATAGAAGTTGATGTATTTTCATTCTCTACAATTTCAATAGTCAATTGTGTTTCTAATAATTTGCGAAGTTCTTTTAATTTTTCCACTCATCTAAACAAACCAGTTTCAGTGTAATCATTCAATTCTCGACATGACTGCATTTCATTGATCATTTTATCTACAGATACCTTCAGTTCATTTCCTGTTTGATCGAGTAATTGTCGAAGATCAGCACGAGCTGCTTCGGCTACTACTTGAATCTTAGTAATTGATTCTTGTTCCCATTCATTGATACGTACTAATAGAGAATGTATTAAATTCTCTTGTGTTAGATCATGTCGAAAAAGATCATGTTCTTGTCCAATATTATCCAATTGTGTTGCCAGTTCTTGTCGATATTCAATAATACGTTTAATACAAAATGATTGTTGACAACCATCACATGTAGTAACACCTCTGCCTTTGTTACATTTAGCACAAGGTTTTTTAAGCAGAGCCGACGGCCATTTTATAACTTATTGAGACTACAAAATTTTACTATTTGAAAAATGTAAAAAAATCGATTCTCACGTGACTTGTCTACCAGAAGGAATAGTTAGCAACGCGTCTATATCATAGAAAAGAAAAAAAGAAAAATTTTTTTCATATATATTGGAAAAGAAAGAAAAAAAAAGTTGTCAGCATTGATGACAACATCGAGTGAATGCACTTGATTGCAAATATGAAATTGCAAAGCCAAATGTTTGCAGGCAAAAAAAATAATTTGAAATAGTCTTCAAATATTTCTCAAGTAATTTCGATTCTTTTTTTAGATCGGTACCTGTATCAGATCAACAATCTATTGAACATTTGTTTCAATTTAAGAAAAAAGAAAATTGAACAGAATTTTTCGACGCAAAATCAAAACGACAAGAGCTTCTGGTAATTTTAATAATACGTCGAATTAGAAATGTTTTTTTAATACTGTTAATGATAGTTACTTTTCGAACTTGTTGCGATTGATACAGGGTGGCCCATAAGTCAGGTAACCGAGAAACAATCAGATATCTCTGTTATGGCTCGAGCAAACGCGCTCATTTTTTTTTACCAAGGATAGAGACATGTTCACACTCAAAATCCATACGGACAAGGTTGGTGAGAACCTTTGTTAAGTACCACTATTGAGCTCAACAAGAAAATTTTACTTTTTCACAGATAGAAAAAAAAAACAATATACTTAACAAAGGGTCTCTCTAGGTGTGTCTTTAGAGATATAACGCTTGAACATGCCTCTATTATCGTTAAAAAAATCAGCTCGTTTGCTCGAGCTGTAATGGAGATATTCAATTTTTTTTCGATAAAGTGACTTTTGCACCATCCTGTATATTGTTTTTTTCCTATCTGTGAAAAAGTAAAATTTTCTTGTTGAAGTCAATATTTATACTTAACAAAGGTTCTCACCAACCTTGTCCGTATGGATTTGGAGTGTGACCATGCCTCTATCCTTGGTAAAAAAAAAATGAGTCCGTTTGTTCGAGCCATAACAGAGATATCTGATTGTTTCTCGGTTACCTGGCTTATGGGCCACCCTGTATAAGGTTTCTCAGTTGCTGAAACAGTAATATTAAATGAGAATACAGACAGATATTTTTATAAAGAATTTATACGACAAGACTAAGTTTTTATTTATAATTCTAACTTTGATACTAATCAACAAATAATGATGGCCAACAAATTGAAATTAAGTCAATTGGAAACCTAAATGATATCTATCTGTCAGAGAAACACACAGCATAATATTTTTTCACAATTTCTTTATAGAATTGATTAAGGATCCGTTTTTATTTCGTTATGATAATAATGATTTTCACGTAATTTACTTTTATTGAAATAAACAACATAGTATTGAATTTACAATGACGGAAAATATTGATAAATATCTTTTGACAAATATTTAGATTTTTCAAAAAACAATCGTTTCACTTTAGAACAATTGCGGCGTGTTGCATCGCTTGTAAAGTTCATTGTTACAATTTTCAATTGATCATACATCATTTTTAACTCAATTAGATGGGGTAGATATGTCCGTGTTTCGAGTAGAAATTGGTAAACATAATCTTCATGCACACGTATGATGTTAAGTGATTTAAGATGAGAATATTCAATAACTGAATACAATGAATTTCCATCAGATTCCCGTTTATTATGATTCCATGTTTGCAATGTCTCATTCACCAAAGCAAAACACTTAAGCATTGGAAAAGCTCGACTAATTCGCATAAAGAATTCATGTTTCATTGAAACCGTATCATAAGCAGACAAGCGAGTTACATTATGCAACACAACATTTGGAAACTGATTTCTGATGTTTTCCAGACGAGTAAATTGAAACGGAAGTGAATAAACATGACATATTGCTCTAGACACGCAATAATAATCTATAATACAAGCTGTTTGTCCATATATTCTGTGTGTAAATATTTGTTGAATATCATCAGTAGATTTACGATGAATTAAATCAGTAACGACATTTTCTGTACTTATATAAAATTTGCATGAATGAAGTTGAGGCATATAAACAAGGACATTATTATGAAGATGTGTCCCATCGACATATGGATTCGTATCATTGAAGAGACCACTTGTGCCGTGGTACAATGATAATCTAGCATTGATACGAAGATACAAAGTTAACTTTTCCAGATGTATCATACGACGAAGCAGTGGCACAATCAATACGTCATAATGAGAGGTTATAGCATAACTTGTTAATGAGAAACACTTCATATTATATAATTCATCCTATAAAATATAAAAATATTTTTTGAATATACATTTATCAATTGAGCGAAGACAGAAAGTCTGTGAGAGACTGATCGAAAAAAAATTTACTCATTTATAATTCTTTCTTCAAAATTTGTTGTATTTTATGGTACACAATATGTAATTAATATGTCTAAAATAGTCAATTTTTCAAAGCTTTCGGCACAATCAAAGTAGGGTGAATCCGTGGGGTTTCTACCACTTTTGTGGAAAAATTTTTTTTTTCGCTTTGAATAGTCTAGTTAGATGTATCATAGTCGAAAACGGTCTGACGCAACAATTAAAACCTTTTTGGACATATAAAGTGTGAAGAATCAAATCATTTTTTCGGAACATTCCACATGTATATAGGGTGTCCTATAATAAATTGTTAATCATATTTTTCATACTTTTTGTTGGCATAGAGAGCTGAAATTCTTATCACATCTATATCTAATCAAGATCTTTTATTTCTAAAATTTTCAGTTCTCTAGCTAGAACTAATGGTGAAATACATTGACAAGACTGAAATAGATGAAGTTTCGTACTTGATTTTTGCATATTTTTACCGTTAAATTATTGGAAAAATTGATTGCAAACTTGATGTATTTCACCATTAGTTTTAGCTAGAGAACTGAAAATTTCAGAAATAAAAGATCTTGATTAGATATACATGTGATAAAAATTTTAGCTCTCTATACCAACAAAAACTATGAAAAATATGATTAACAATTTATCATCAGTTATTTTGGGTTGCTCTTTATCGGTGTGGAGTGTTCCTAAAAAACAATGTGGCTTTCCACACTTTATATTTCCAAAAAGGTTTTAATTGTTGCCTTAGACCGTTTTCGACTATGATACATCTAACTACACTATTCAAAACGAAAAGAAACCTTTCTTTCAGAACATTGGGACAGAATACCCTTCTTCCACAAAGTGGTAGAAACCCCACGGATTCACCCAAGTAGGAACTATTTACAAGCTACTTCAGAAGAAAAATAATCATTTTTTTAGAGTTTCACAAGCTCTAAAAAGACTTTCAAATTCTAAAGTTGATTAGATTTCTCCACCTACATCAAATATCATCACTAAATAGAATAGCTCCCATTTTTTAAAATTCAACTATCATTATTAAAGACATTCTAGTTCACGAAAAAGTATCTTCTTATAAATATTCTCGCCTATATGACGTAAAAAGCAGTAAATCTATTTCGATCATAAGTTTTCATCAGCTGTGTATTTCTACATATTTTTCAAACTAAAAATTCTGTGATATTTTTCGTTATTTTCAAGTCATGATACCAGAAACTCTTGTAAGATGACTACAGAATCTCGACAAACTCTGCAGTGTTTTCTTGATAACTTAAAGAAAATTATTTCCATTCAACCCTAAAAAAGAAAATTTTTAGTGTGTAATTCTTAGAACACAACTTTGGCAGTCGTTTTGTTGCTTAAATATTTCAAAAGTTGAAAGTTAATAAGAAATACTAAGCAATCTTTTTTGTTGTTTGTTATAACGAACAAGATACACATCTTGCAATTAGTCGTTTAGCTATTTCTAGTGATTAATTATTGAACAATTTCTATTAATGTCAAACAAGAACAACTATCTATTTCTAATCGTTTTACAATAATAAAATCTATTTACTGTTCTGATAATCATCTGATTTATTATTATTATTTCATTGTCTATATTATTCGTTAACTTCGACCAACAATGAAACAGCACTAACTCACCATATTGCGAGAAATCAAAGGATAGCCAATATACCTAATTTGAACAATAAACGTAGTGAGTTGTTTCAGATGACCATCAAGTACAGAGAGACAATCATCAAAGCAGCACACATTAATACATAATACAGTAAGAGTTGAAGAGAAATAAGTAGTTGGCGATTCAAGACAAAATGAAAAAAGCGGATATTCGTTCGCAGATGTTTCAACAATTTTCAAATGTTTTAGATTTTGGAAGAGAATCATGGTACGTTCATACACATTGGTAAAATAAGTCTTTAACGACATTTGAGTGGTGCGTTCATCATTATTATGAAGAATAAGATCTGTTATCTGCTTTTTAAAAATATGTTGGAAGATCGAGTCATCTAAGTAAAAAAAAAGCATTCAATGGAATTTTTTGCATTTTGGTCTTTTGATAATTACGAGTATGTTAGGCACTTACCTGTAAAATAACGGAAAACTGTTTCTTGTCCAAAATTGAACAGTTCCAAAGAAGTCAAATTTGGATAATTACCAGCAAGCAGAATACGTTCCATAGATGTTACGTCAAGAATTAGTTTTTTTATAAAATGATGCCTTTGAGGTAATATATAAATACAGAATCGATCAAGTTTATGATCAATAATTGATGTTATTACAAAATTAAGAACATTAGTAAATACATCATTGTTTATTAAAGTATCAATTCGTTGATTATTAATTCCAAATAGCGAATAAAGAACGTCAACATTGCCCAATTTCTTCAAGATGATAATCAATATTTCGTTGGGTAGATCAAGAATATGAATGTCAGATTGATTCATTTTCGAATATGACCGTCACCGTCCTAATAAATATATACATGTATATATATATATTTTTTTTTTTTTGATAACCGTATCCGTCAGTAGAGAACAGTGGATGACCGCCATATAAAAAAATGTGCTATTGATGAATCATCCAATATGATTGCATATCAACTGGTTCGAAATTTTCGATCTCTTGCCGATTCAATAAAAATTACATCGTTAGAAAGGGCAGAAAAAACTGAGTAATGTCTAATCATTTTCGCGGAGGGGTACTCCCAAGTCCCCAGCAAATTTTTTTAAAATACGTTTCCCAGCTAAAATAGCTAAGATGTTTCGTTCTCTTTCTTTCTTAGTGANGTACGCATGTTCACCTAAACGAGAATATGATGAAAACGAAAGAACGAAAGAAAAGATGATTCACTAAGAAAGAAAGAGAACGACACATTTTAGCTATTTTAGCTGGGAAACGTATTTTCAAAAAATCTGCTGGGGACTTGGGAGTACCCCTCCGAGAAAATGGTTAGACATTACTCAGTTTTTTCTGCTCTTTCTAACGATGTAATTTTTATTGAATCGGCAAGAGATCGAAAATTTCGAACCGGTTGATATGATCGTCAAGAAACACTTTTCTTTTCAACATGTTTATTTTCTTGCGGTTGCTCAACTATGTATATATGTATACGAAAGTAAAAGATGCCATATTAATCGATTAACGAGACTAAAGAAATCAAAACCGAATTAAGAAATTTGATTAGTGTTTCTACGTAGCAACACCAATCATATGTCTTAATTCAGTTTTAATTTTCCTAGCCTGGTTGACCGCTAAATTGCTGTTATATAATATTTTATAAAGAATATATAGTCGTTTTATGTCTCATAGAGACACATGTATGTAAAAGATATGTCTAGTAAATTACATACTATTTTTCCGCAAAAAAAAGGGGTCGCTCACAAAACGGAAAATGGTACCAGTTTTGCAATAATTCTGACATTACGATTACTATTAAGTATCTGTATTCAAGTACTAATTTCATAGTTTAGAGATGTCCAAAGTGCTTTTCTATATTGATATTTACATCGAGATAAAAAGTAATGGCGTTAAGTGAGAACTGCTTTTCTTACAATTTTCTATATTGAAACATAGAGAACGTAGAGAGAGATTATTTCTAAATTCTCAATGTATGTATCGTACACATAACTGACCTAAGCAAATTCCGGATAATATTGTGAAACTAGTATAAGTATTCAAATATTGGATCAAAACATTTATATTCTACTAGAAGAAAAAATAAACTATATGACGATCATGAAATCATATATTTTAAATTAGATAGTATAGATTCGTTGAACATCATCGAATATAACACAGTTGATTTTTTTCGTGGAAAAAGAAACAATTTTCATTTAATTTTTGTCATCGAATCAATGAAAAACGAGAAAATCTGTTTTAGTGCATATAAAAATTCAGTATTACACAAGAAATGAAAGCGATATTGAAAACAAGATCAACATTTAATGCATGCTGTTCTAATTAAACTAGAACAAATCGTTAAAAAGAAGAATATGGAATTAATAAAATCAATTCTTAGAAACGACTTATTTTTATGATGAAAAATAAATCTTCGTATCTGTTTCTTCATACATACGCCGACAAGGACAGTCAATGGCAGAAAGATGATACTATTGAATATATTTTTGTTAGTATTTTTAGTCTTTTGCAAGCATTATTTCCGAAGACAAACTGTTTGAAAATGTTGATTAGTAAAGAATTTGCATCTTATACGTTATATTTTCTATCTTTTTAATCCACTTAGACAATAGCCGAAACATTTTAAAATAATTTTTGTTCTAGACAAACTTAACATAGTCTTCAGTTTAATGAGAAAATAAAAAATAAGAAAGAAGATCAAAGTAATAAACGCTTAATAACAGGTATGAAGATTAAAAGTCTTTGTTATTCATGATCTTTTTCATTTATTGTTTATGTTTGTTGTTGAATCGATCGTGTAGATTGCATATCATCAACGAATGTTAAATCATATTTTAAACCAAGTATATCAAATAAATGCATAATAAAATTATAAATATTTTGTATAAGACGCCGATGAACATTTTCACTTGTTGTATTCATATAATTATTTGTTGTCGATAATAATTCTCTTATCTGTTCAATAACAGATGGTGTATCTATTGAATTACAAAATGCATGATGAATCGCACATTTAGCTGTTGAAAAAGATTTAAATAATGATAAATCATATTGATTTAATTTTTCACTAGCATCATTATTAACCTCTTTGATAAAATTTAAATAATATTCAATATCATGAAGAATCGAATTCATTTTTTCTTCCAAGTTCAAAACCATTTGCATTTGTTTCATATTAAATTCAAATTGGCTCGACCATTTGTTTACAAGAAAAAGTAATCGTATATTTTCAATCGAATAATTTTTATCAAGTACTTCTTGAAGTTTAATGATATTATTTGATGATGATTCATCATAAACCAAATCGCCAATACTAAGAAAGTACTTAATCGATGAATCATTTTTACAATGAGCAAGTTTTTCATCAAAACCACATGTGTAAATATCGATTGGTGAATCTAAAAAGATTAAAAAAATAAGTTTCTTTTTTAACAAGAAAATAGAATTGATTATACATATTTGTGTTAGATGAAAACAGAAAATTGTTTCTTACCAAATAGAGTTTTAGATATTGCACAACATTCAATGAATGTTTTTGGTTGACCAGAATTCCATAATGAGTTTGATTCATATGAACGACCTTTTGCAACAATATCTTTAATAAATGCTTGTATTTCCTGTAAATAATCACTTGAATGTATGTTTAAATTTGGAGATAGGACATTGAGTGTTTTCATATCCATTTCAAATTGACGATTATGTTGAAGAAGATAGTTTTTATCAAGTTCAGCTCGTGTACGAGAAGAAAAATTTTTTGAAAACGACGGTAAAATATCACCACCAATTGATGTCTACAAAAAAAGATTCAATGAAGTGTAAGACTGTAAGATATTTTAAAATGAATACTTACTTTTGGTTGTTTTTTATCAGTTGGTAAAGCAATATTTTCAGATGAAATTTTTGTTGAATTGTTTTCATTATGTATATTCTAAAAGAAAGACAAATTTATTTTGTTTTTTTTTAATTTTGTATTCTAATAAAAATAAATTTACTTTATAATCAATATCACTGATACCCATTAAA